TGTCCCAGGCACTGGCAGTACCGGCAGCGATGGCCAAAGCAGTGACGACGTGGTTCGAGATATGCATGGTGAATAAGTAGATTAGATGAGGAGAATACCAAGTAAAGCAATGCTTTTAGTTGAAAAGGGAAAGACCAAGAATCGCTTGGGGAGAATGTGTAGAAGTATCGATTAAAAGTATGTATGATGCAAGTGATGAATGAATAGAAGACTGATGATGAGGCGATTCGGACAGCTCATCTGGGGATTCTTATAGTAATCCCAGGGCCACTAATCCGGTACTATCGAAGAGAATGAAACCATTCATCCTGTCTTTGGATGGGCTGAAGGCCTGCAACCGGTGTGGCCATACAGCACGGCGACTTTGTATCGATGGTGCTGCATCCGGAGAAGCACAATATCCTATCATGTTCGACGTACTGCCTGAACATCGGAGAGACGCATTGGACTAGACAGACAGCAAGAGAGACGGTCCAGAGCGAGCATGAAGCCACATGTGTCACGTGATGGTGTAATTCCGGCTCGATGGATCCTGAAAAGGCATTCGGTCGTCAGCCGATTACCGGATGCGGATATCATGATGCCGCCCACAAGACGTCAAAAAGCAGCCATCTAACTAGGCAGAGCCGACCCAAGGTTAACCCCACCGATACCACAAAGCATTGTGCCTTTTAAGTCGAATGCGAATATAGCTCATGAAACCAGGGGGACGAAGCCGGAAGCACCCACGGTCAACGGTGGGTAAATCCTGTTGACAGGCATGACAGGGTTTGTAACCAGCAGAGTCACTTTAGGTCCTGCCAAATCAGTATTGAGGCTTTTTGGTCTCACGGAAAGTGCACAGAGGGTGCACGAATGATGGTCAAGAGGAGCTAGTGTTGTGCTAATGGGCAGTGTTTCCTATGCCGGACGGATTTGTCTCTGACCTTTGGGTTGTGAGGAGAGAGTTGGTTTTTGCGTTTTCTTTGTTTTTACGGGATAAAACAACAACTAAGCAGCGTCGGTAGTGTAACGGTTATCATTCTTGCCTTCCAAGCATGAGACCCGGGTTCGACTCCCGGCCGACGCAGATAGTGAACAATTCTTTCTTTTTTGCAGATCTATCGTATCTGCATAAGTTAACTTGACTGTGTGTGCGAGCAGAAGTAAGAAGAACAGTAATTTTGAGGTTCCGGTCGGCCAAGAAAGAGGCTTCGTTGTCTTTTATTCAGTTATACCCAAGGATGTTTTTCGCAAAGGTAATGGTTTCTAGGCTATATAGAAGGCTGCGGCAATTGAGTAACATCCCCAATCAAGGCTATCCTGTCCGTCATACAAGAACACTCGGGACATGAGCAAAAAACCTAGTATCTCTGCAAGAGATGAAAAAAGAAAAGAACTGTTGACTATTTGCGTCGGCCGGGAGTCGAACCCGGGTCTCATGCTTGGAAGGCAAGAATGATAACCGTTACACTACCGACGCTGCTTAGTTAATCATTTCATACTTCATTAACTTGAGAAGGAAAGTTGCAAGATACCACCTTAATTCAGTTGTTTTCATGTTATTCGTCCTGGCAACAAGATCGGTTGCTATCTTCATATATAAATTGTTTGGTGTGTATATCCCCGCTGGTGCTCAATGCTTTTATTGCCCATTAATGGCGATACTGCTACTTAGAATGTGTTGCTAATAAGCATGGATCCGTTTGATACAGTTATATATATTGACGGCAGTTGGCATGGAGCAACATGTCATATTGTTTCTGAAGGACATTGACGCCTCATGTTTTTATATTTTCATATGATCCCCCCCTAGCAGTATAACTCATAACCACCATAGCACTTGCTATGGAAAGGACTGCCCAGGTCCTGTATGTATCATTCTAGAAGCCAACGTAGCTGACTAAGGCTGTCAAGTCACGCCTCGGATTCATGACCCGCAGCTGGAATGAGCGACCAATCGACCATTCAATCAGTCAGTCAATCATTGCTTCCCTCGTGCACTCACTAGTTTGCCTTATCGTCCAGGTCAATGTATTGATCTAATCTCGGGATTGACTGATCCCGCCATTCGTTACCATCCCCCATGCCTACCCGACGTGATATCCCTAGTCATTCGCTCCTTTCCCCCGGCGACTACGATGAAGATGCCGAGTCCCTACGATCGCCGTCAGAGCAGGACTCTGACTCGGAGGATGACGAGTTTCTCCGTAGATCTCGCACAACCCTGGAATTAGCGGAGCATGACCGCATGGTGCTGAATGACGAGGAAGAAACGGAGAAGCTACTGATCAGGGGAGGCCCAACGCACGGTCTGCGGCGAATCTTTAGCCTAGCAGCCCAAGTGTAAAGATCGGAAAGCGAGAACGCCGACGAAAACGGCGGGAGGAAAGAAGAGATGCGCGTAGAGGACAGCATGAGAAAATGACTGATTCGGGAGAGCTGATGTTCGAGATGGAAGAGGGTCATCGGGAGGACGACGAGAGCTCCCTCCTGAGCCGATCGTCGTCCGATCTAGACCGACAGCTTAAGGAATACGGTGGTGACGAGGTATGGTTGTCTTACCTATACCAAGCGTATGCTCATTATTCAAAGTCTAACTGTCTTGTTCTACCAGCGGCCCCAGCGCGTCTCGTGGCTTAAGCTTGCCCTGGTCTTCGCGGCGATCTTTGTTCTTTTCCTCATCTTCCTTCTCGGAGCATACAAAGCATCAACGTCTTTCCGGACCACCAAAGCCTCTCAAACATTACTGTCGAACGGCACTGCTCTTTTCGCACCCACCACAATTCTGATCTCTCTTGATGGATTTCGAGCGGACTTCCTCAACCGTGGGTTAACACCAACTCTTAACAAGTTCATTGCCGAGGGTGTATCGCCACAGTACATGCTCCCCAGCTTCCCTAGTGTCACATTTCCCAACCATTTTACCCTCGTTACCGGATTATATCCCGAAAGCCATGGAATCGTGGGGAACACATTCTGGGACCCGGAGTTGCAGGAGGAGTTCTACTACACCCACCCGTCAGTCAGTATGCAGCCTAAATGGTGGAATGCCGAACCGTTGTGGATGGCTGCCGAGAATCAGGGGATCAAGACTGCCATTCACATGTGGCCTGGCTCCGAAGCGCACATTGGCGGAGTTGAGCCGACAATGCTAGACAAGTACAATGGCTCGGAAGCGCTCCCTCGCAAAGCCAATCGCATCTTGGAATTCCTAGATATGTCTGGCCTCGAGGACGAGTCGGGAGTAGTTTCGGATCGACCTCAGTTCATCGCTGCCTATGTTCCCAATGTCGATGCTGATGGGCACAAGTATGGGCCCAACAGCACAGAGATCCGGGGTACCATCTCGGAAGTAGACGAAATGCTGGGTAGCCTCTTCGCCGGCTTGCAAGACCGGAACTTGACCGACATCGTGAACATAGTGATTGTCTCTGACCATGGAATGGCCACCACGGCAACCGAACGACTGGTGCAGTTGGATGACCTGATCGACCTCAGCCTGGTGGATCGCATTGATGGATGGCCGTTGCGTGGGCTGCGTCCCAAACGACCAGAGGACCTTGAGACGCTTCAGAAACAGCTGGAGAGCGTAGCCGTGAACTACTCACATGCGCTCGAGATCTACACCCGCGAGACGATGCCCGAGCGCTACCATTTTACGAACAACGATCGCATCGCCCCTCTTTGGGTGATTCCGAAGACAGGCTGGGCGGTGGTCGAACGACCTGACTTTGACGCTCACAGCGCCTTGGAGAAAGGCGAGGTATATCATCCGAGGGGCGTCCACGGGTATGATCATGAACATTCCCTGATGAGGGCGATCTTCATCGCCAGAGGCCCGGCATTCCCGCATCAACCCAATAGCCGGGTGGAAGTATTCCGTAAGTGCTATCCTGTCTTCTGATGGAAACGGACTAACCGACACAGAAAATATCAATGTATATAATATCATTTGTGATACTCTTGGCCTCGACCCACGTCCGAACAATGGAACACTGCGCCTGCCTCTAAAACCCGTGGGTCTCCATTCGGACGAAGATACCCCGGCTCTTGAAAACCCCTCGGACCCTCCAGCTAGCAGCACAGCTACTCCTGTATCGCCTAGCATGACTTCGACTGCACTGGCTTCCACAAGCCCAACAACTACCTCTACAACTGCCCCCGAGGCCCCACCAGAGGAAGAGTCAGACGATGAGGCGGACAACGACAACGACCAGCCCTCTACCTGGTGGGGGACCCTTTGGGATAAAATCGAGGACCTGAAGGATTGGGCCGGTGACCTAATTGAGACCGTGAAGGACAATTTCCCTTAATTCGGGCGTTATCGCAGAGCCAATGGACTCGATGATAGCGGTAGAACATATGCTATTCGTTGCTTTAAAGATACCCACTTTTCTCTGTGTTGGATAATATACATCTTGTTGGATAATCTTAATCTATTTGCTTTGCTGCAATACGTTCATCTAAGAAGTGAGGAAAGAATTCTCCAGTGACGTTGGGCAATGCGATCAATGAGGCTGAAATCCTTCCGCGCCGATCGCGACGTCAATGAATCAATGCCCCATCGGGTCTGCCCTAATCGGGTACCCGACGATGACAGCTGAGTGAACAAGATGACTCAAGAAAATGCCCAGCCGCAATGCGCCACACCTTGGAGCCAATCGTAGAGTCATGGTGGAATGGAAAATCACAAATTTTGATGATTCAGGCACTTGTTGCGCTGCAGTGAATTGATGTCGACCCAGTCCACCCGTCTTTCTGCCTTGCGGACCTGTGCTGCCTACGGGAGGAAGTGGGAACTTATAAGGATGTGAGAACACCCTCGATGGTCGCTGGATAAATCACTCAGGGAAACAGGAAGTCAATTGACCCGATTTTTCGAGTCGTTCATTCCTTAGGTTTCTTTCCTCTCTCTTGTTGGCGTTTCTTAGAGACCCCGAACAGACGGGCCCTGAGTATATACACAGTGCATGTCGAAACACCTTCAAAGTCCCTGATTGAAACCAGCCAAAGCCATCATGGAGTCGACGCAACTTTCAAGCACCATCAATAAGACCAATATGAACTCTACCACTACCCCCCTTCTCTCTCCCTCCGACACTGCCCTCCTCGAAGCCTTCATCCCAGGCTACTCCTTCATCTCGAGATTCCTCATTTCTTACCTCCATATCGACCTCTCTCTCTACCTACCCTATATACTCACCTACATCGCCATCGCTGCGGTGCTCAAATACTCCTTTTCCAAGCTCAAGGGAGTCATGAAAACCCACCTCATCGCAACGGCTGAAATCCGTCTCGACGACGAGATCTCCAACTACCTCCTCTACTGGATGGCGCAGCAGCCCTTCGCGAACCGGAGCACGCGGTTCGTCGCCGCAACGCGGATCTCCACTCAATCGCACTATTACGACTCCGACGAAGAGGACGACGAATGGGGCGAGGAAGACGAGTACGACGAGGAGGGGAACGTGATCAACAATTTCGACGAGTACTGGGCGAAGACACGCAAGCGGGACAAGTTCAAGCGACTGAGGTTCACGCCCGCGGAGGGGACGCACTACTTCTTCTTCCGCGGTCAGCTACTGGCCTTTGTCCGGGCGAAGGGCGACAAGAAGTCTTCTTCGTCCTCTCGGTGGGGCGCGCGCTTCGAGACGGAGAAGTTGTATCTGTCGTGTTTCGGCCGCGACCCTGCCATCCTGAAGGAGTTGCTGGCTGAGGCGCAGCGAGTGTATGTCGCCCGCGACGGAAACAGCACCATTATCTATCGCGGGCAGAAGAGCCCCGGTGATTATGTTGATTGGTCCCGCTGTATGGCGCGCGCTCCGCGTCCTCTGTCGACGGTTATCTTGGACCAGGAGCAGAAGGATGCCTTTGTTGATGATATTAAGGAGTATCTGCATCCCCGCACGAGGAGGTGGTATTCGAACCGGGGGATCCCCTACCGACGGGGTTATCTGCTCCATGGACCGCCTGGCACGGGAAAAACGAGCTTGTGCTTTGCGGTGGCTGGGCTGATGGGGCTTCCTTTGTATCTTCTCAATCTGAGCTCGAAGTCCTTCAGCGAAGATGACCTTATGTCTTTATTCCAGGAGCTCCCCCGCCGGTGCATCGTCTTGCTTGAGGACGTGGACTGTGCCGGTATCACGCAGAAGCGAGTCAGCGACGGTGGCGATGACTCGACGGCGAAGCCCGCCGATGGCAAGGAAGGCGATGCGCCCGAGGACGCGGATGCCGATTCCTCGAAACAGGGCGTCTCGCTCTCCGGTCTCCTGAATGTGATCGATGGCGTGGCCGCCAGTGAAGGCCGCATCCTGGTCATGACGACAAACCACCCCGAGAAGCTCGATCCGGCTCTGCTGCGGCCTGGTCGGGTCGACATGTCGATTCAATTCGGGTACGCCGAGCCCAGTGACATCAAGGAGCTTTTTACGGCCATCTATTCCACACTCGAGGGTGATGTACGGTCGGCAAGGACGAAGCGACCCAAGGGGAAGAAGGAACAGGTGACGTCCGAGGTCCCATGGCATCAGTTCTCGCGGAAGCAAATCCAGAGCTTGGCAGATGAGTTCCTTGCGCTAGTGCCAGGAGGGCAATGCACTGCTGCTGAGATCCAGGGGTATCTCCTGAACTACAAGAGGGACCCCCAAGCTGCTATCGAAGGGGTCGAGGAATGGGCGCGAAGCATCCGATCGAAACGGGAGGGGAAAACCGAAGCAACCGTGAAGTCAGACTAGTAATAACTGCATGAGATGAGTGGATGATTTTGTACACTGCATATAGAGATACCCAAAGGTCCTGCCCGTTTGACCCATTTGTGCATATAGATAGTGAAAATGAAAAGCTCGAACTTTGTTCTAGACCCCTCAGATGTAACTGTCGTACTACAGAGGATACCAAGGCATGTAACCAAGCTAGGACCAGAGTTGGCGATCATCAGGGAGAACAGCTGGACAAGTTATCTTGAAGCCCAGGTGTAACATCGTGTAGCTACAACAACTGCTGGCATCTTGACAGTCAAGAGAGGTTCTCAAACATGGTTTCTGAGGAGCGCGAAGAATATGTATGTGAGCTAAGTCAAGTGTTAAATACATAACGTGGGTATAATAGGCCGATCATGTGAAGTGATATGTAGTGAAACCCAGACCCGGTCCCTCCTCCAAATAGATACAGTGTGAAAGGGGTTATTTTACTAAGGTCATAGGAGAGTCACCTGCTGGTCTAATATCGAGATATTGGCAGCATATGTACACCGTGTGTTGTTTCGACAGAAGCCATGGAACAACATCCGGTCTCCGCAGCCACAGACAGTACCGCCCCCAGGAGAAGTAAGACCATAGTCACCAGATTGGAGCAATTTCTCGCCATTCTTGATATAGGGCCCGGTAATTGACTTCGAGGTGGCATAACGAACATCGTACTTGGGGTCCGTGTAGCAATGTGTGGAGTAAAAAAGAAAGTATGTGTCTCCATGTAGAATCAGGTTAGGGGCCTCGACTAGTGGCCCATCGCTGTCGTCACGGTCAAGGATCTGGATAGCATCACCGACCGGAGTGAAGCCATCATCCGCAACTTTCTGTAAAAGAATAGGGGTCGGTTTAAGGGGAGGGATGCCATTGTTGCAGTCCCCACCATTTCCAATACTGTTCCCATCAACTTTGAATACCACATAGCGGCTGCCATCCTTGTCCAGGAAGCCTGCCGGATCAATTGAGCCACCCTGGTCTAGACGGCAAGACAGAGGTGTCTCGTTAGGTACATAGGGCCCAGTAGGATCTGTGCCTTCAGAGACTGCAACACCCACACAATGGTGCCTCACCATCTCCTTGGCCTCGCCCGAGTAGTACATGACGTATTTACCATCGTTCTAGAAGCCTAGTCAGCACAAGAAATTGTTCCAATAGAAATGCAAAAAGGAAGAGAGAAAAATACCCGTTTTATCACATCAGGTGCCCAGTGATCTATCTCAGTCTCCCAGCTGGCAAGTGTAGGTAAAGCCTCCTTGTCAAGAAGAGTCCATGATTTGAAGTCCTCAGAAGAAGCCACCTGGACACGCTTGCCGTTCCCATTCGTGCCAAAGGCATACCAAGTACCATCTGTTGCTTGCACAAAGCTTGGATCGGGGAAGTCAGAATCGATAGCCAAAACAGCACCTACTTGCTGCACCCGGAAAGGAGACGCCAGCACAGTCGATATTAAGCCAAGACCTATGGCCCAAGAGTAAAGTCGAGACCACATAGCACGTTACGTATGGCTTGATGTCCTCGGGGAACAAAGGCACAGATCATCGAAGAAGGTAACGCCAACAGTTCACTAAGGGGCTGGGGGATACGCAGCTGTGAGTGATGACGAGGGAAAGAATCCTGTGCAGGAATGCCATCTCACCTGGCTGCCTCAACGCTTTATATTTGATCGCCTTAGGCTATTGTGGCAACCATCGAGTGCCGATTCCATTGTACGCATTTGGTAACGTGATCATTCTCCTCTCCGGTGACTTCAATAGTCATTTGATACCGGCCTTAAAATAGCGACTAGGCCTACTGCGCCCAGGTACTGGATGCATCGCCAAGTGCTGGGACTAGGGCACGGGTGGGGGGGGGGGGTCAACTATCGTATAATACCATTTGACATAGGCGAATAGTTGGTGGGCCAGGTAAAGCGGTCATTGAGCTAACAGACAACAAAGACATCGGCAGTGGAGTGGCTGAGCCTGGATGCGATAATCGTGTCTACCTGAAAGTCTCGCAAAAGCTGCCCGTTGCCCAGTTCGGGACATTGCACGCGGTCCCTGGATGCCACCGCGGGAAATCTTAAATTAGACTATAAGGTCTTGAACGAACCAAACTCACCAGTCGATCAAAAGAACAAACCAATCAGCGACGGCAATAATAGATCGAAAGCAAAGAAAGGCCTTGTGTGGAGTTCGCATGATTCCGGAAGCGGTAATGCATTCACTCAGCGAGTTATCATTCATCGCTAGGCATAACGCGGACGGTAACGCATCCAATGTCTTTCCTATATTTAATCTTTTGCCAACTCAGTAGAGCAAATTCAAATAGCGGGAAAGATATTAGTCTTTTTGTATGGTGAAATTGTCGTTCCTTAACCAATGCCAAGAAGAAGGTGCCCGGGAACAACAGTGTGGATCGGAAGAGGTTTATGGAGACATGCCCGACTGCCGCAGACGCAAGGGAGACCTTAATTGGACCCTGACCGCTCATAGTCATAGTCATTAAATCATGATGCCCGGAGTATAAAGGACCAGGGCAACAAGTAGCAAGAGATCCAGGAATACCATGGAAAATGCCCTCACTGTAGGTTAGCCGTCAAAGGCATCACCTTCCTCTTTTTGCGGCTTCCCACTTGTTGGGTGGCCGAAGTCATACAGGTCAAATTTGAGTTTCCAAATCATTTATTTATTCGAAGCCAACCAGTTTCTTGTACCAAACGCCTTCAGAAGCGGTGGATTCTGGCAAGCGGCAACCCAGTACGGTTGGAATGGGCCCGCTCATGGTTGCGGCCCATGAAGCGTCCCATGCAATCTCCTTTAGGGTCACAATCCATAGTCTTGTTAGCTACCATGGTAATGCGTGCATTCACATGGGTCCGTGTGTGTTGTTGTCAAAGAAATAAGCATAAACCAACCATTCTCATCACGGACTCATATTTGGGGGGCCCTAGGTCATTTGTTGGTGCTACTTGTACAATAAGTGAGTGCACCCCGATGAAACCAATCGCAATTGACTACTAAGTAAATAGAGGCGGACGGACGAAAGACAAGTGTTGAAGTCATGGGGCTGATAGGATCAATACCAGTCTCCTGCGAAAAGGAGCGTGCCCTTCTCCAGATCTTCGCCTGCACCCCTTGCGTGGGACCACAGACTTTCTCTTGTTGTAGCATCCAATCGCACAATTTGCTATAAACGCTATTTGAACTCAAATCCTGCCATGGCAGACTCTCGGACCGAGGACATCCAAATTTTGAGCAAACGTCCCCAGATTGCTGCGCGATAGCATTTGGTCCATAGATCCGATCTTTTGCAGATCAGTCATGAGGACTTTTATTCTCTCGTGTCCTAGTCAGGTGAGCGATGAATCTCGTTTACAATGAGAGATTTTTGGGATATGTTCCATAGAAGTCCAACCCCGCAATTTGAGGAAATGTAAACCCTATGGGGTCACATACGATTAAATCACTTATCACGATGATCTCTGGTTCAAATCTGCCAGGTTAGTGGGGGTAACTAAACTCATGAGACGAGTCACGCACCAGCAAAGGCTCCTTCCATTTTATCTTTTTCTTTCCCCTTTGACGTACGATGACATAGAGATCGACGTATTGTGGCAAGATATTTCAAAGCTGTGCCCAGAAAGCTTGGGGAGTGTCAACTCGTGCAATCAAACGCGTCATCTCGAGACGCTGGCTTCGGAGTATCGATAAAGCTTTGACCCCAGTGACCACATTAAAGGAGCAAGTATCGATGAGCATTTTCGATAGGTCGTTGCAGAGTACAGCGTACATCCAAAAGGAGAATCGGGATGTTTGGGTTGTTTGTCCCACTCACGAGACCAGTACCTCAGTCCATAATACTACTAAGAAGTAATGGTTCTACTTGGTCGATGGTATCATACGTTCCCAAGTTATTCACATCAAATACCACATGTCGTAGGAAGGAATCCCCTTTCATTGAAACCAAATGGGATGAAGAACTACAGGTGCAACATGCCACAACGCCATCAAGCAATAAAGCGCATATATACATTGGCATTGTATAGCGTGACATGACCAACAGAAAACCGTCCGAATGACCTAGGAAGTAAGAACCCATGTTTCGAATGGGGTGCCACGAGGCTCCTTTTTCCCATCCTCCCGCATAGTGTACAAAACGGGTTCAAAGTTGGAGGACGAAGCATATTGCCGAATCAAATGTCTCCAATAACAAGACTCCGCAGCTGGAGTGAGATACCGGTCACGGAAAGTTTTAACTGCATTGTTTGCTATGCGTTCCGCAGCCTCCGGGTTGTCTATGAGAAACTCAATTTTGTGATCAAGATCAGAGAAGTCACGCTCAACTTCAACATAATTCGCTTCAGGACCAGAGGAGATGAGAGCGGCATGGTGCGCCTCTTGCCAGATCAGCTTGTGCGAGATGACCACCGACCGACAATTGAGGAGATACTTGCCACGTCCCGAGAAGCTGCGCCCTTCTGTGTGCGCCAGGAACATATACCTACAGTGCTCTTCTATAGGTAACAGATTGAATCGGATGTCATTTTCGTCATCCCAGTCAATAACCCGTATACTGGCCCAGCTCCTGCCCTGGGCCGCCTTCAACAGTTTGCCGCGCACCTCGGGGTTCGTGGCAATGTTGCCACGCCAAACAAGTTGTTTCTTCTTGTCTTGAAAATGCATGCCAGGGATAACTTGGCCATCGACCGTTACTTCCCCATCATCAATTGCGGCAATCCGGCGTCGCGCATCCTTATACGAACCGACCCTGACTTCCGGCCATGACCAGTACCCAAAATCTGGCATCAGCCAGACACTGGTATCTTCATCGCGTTTGGAGTATGACCAAATTGGCCCTTCTCCGCTGCTGTAGTCTTCCGTGGTCAAAACAAACTCAACATTCGGAAGACGTTCTCGATCCGGGAATGAGGCCAATGCGCGCTGTAATGAATTTAACGTCGCCTGCCCCCGTGTGAAGGTGGCAGGCATGTTGCCAAAATCAACAAT